CTGCTGAGCAAACTGGAAGAGAGAAAAGCAGGTGCCAGTGTAGGCAGCATTGCTCTGATCTCTGAAGTTGGTGTAAGAGGCTGGCCAGCTTGCACTATCATATAGGGAAGAAAGAAAAGCCCCAAGGATGCATCCCAACACTAGTTATGATGGAAGCAGCGCTGAAAACTACACCTGATGCCACAAAAGCAAAGACTCCCTGCAGTGAGTTAGAAGTTTGGGAAGAGATGCCTTTTTCCAACTTCCCTTCTGCCATTAGGCCAGCAAAGTACTTTAACTCCAAGCCAAGCCTCAACCCTGGCGCCCTTTGCAAGACCTGACCTGTTTTATCTTTTCCCGCTGCTCAGATGCACTCCCGCTAGAGTGGATGTGAAGGCTCTTCTTATACATGGCCATGCGTGTCTTCCCTTCACTCCGCTGGATTTTGGGGAGCCGAGCTTTCTCCTGCTGCTGCCGAATTTTCAGCTGCTCTAACATGCGCTGGTTGTATCGCTGCATTTGCTCCCTTTCCTGCAACAGTAGAAGGTCATGTACCAGAGGAGGAAAGACACTTCAGGCAAACAAGAAAGTGCTGAGGAGACCAAAGAAGCTGGAGAGCAGATCTGGGAGCTGCACGGAGGTGGCTGGTGATAGACAGCTCCAAGGGGACAAGAAGTGAGGGCAGCTACTGAACATGCTGTGAAAGCAGAAGAGAAGGAGGCTGGAAGAAGCAGAATCAACTGAGAGACATGCCAGTCTTCACTCGCTCCTCTGGGAATCAACTATTCCACATACTGGACAGTGAAATGTTTCCAGAAAAGCCCCCAAAATTCACAACTGCTTCTTGTATGTTAAATGCACGCAGCACAGAACACATGTCCCAAGCAAGAAGGATGACTAGAGTGTAATTTTGGTCCCTTTTCACCAATAACGACCAAGTCCCTTTACTCCCAACCCACCCTTACCCATTTACAGCCTGGAAGGGAAACATCCCTTTTGGGGACATCCAGGCACCCTCCCGACCAGCACCGGTGTACGAAGGTGCTAACGCTTCACCTTCTCATGCTTCCGCAGCAACTCATGCCTCTGGAGGAAATACTGGTCCTTTAGCTGCTGCTTGACAAGCTGGTGTTTCTCCTGTTGCTGATGCTCTTCGAGATCCCAGATGCACGCCTCCCGGTCTAAGAAAGGGAGAAGGGTCAGGACACAACCCACCCTGGACCCCAGCTTGGTCATATGAGGCATCCCAAGCAAGAGCGATCCATACATGCAGAAGTAGTGCAACAGATGTGGGAGGTGATCATTCACCTCCTGTTTTCCAAGAGAAATTGGTTGCAAACCATACTGGAGAATCGTTTCTCACCATTATGAAGCCTAATTGGTTCATATTTGTAAAGCACTTTGAAGATTAAAGCGCTAAGTATTATTATTGTTAAACATTTAGACAGGATCTGGCAAGGCTGTTTTTTCTAAATCCTATCCTGCCAGCTTGCAACTCTGTCACAGCATCTGTTGCGTGGGAAGAGCCAGCATTGGATAAACCCATCGTTACAGCATTTCCTTCCCTCCTTTGCAGCCTTTGCCACCCACCTCTCATGAGCTGCTGCTTTTTATTCAGGCACTCGCGTTCCTTGTCACAGATCTCTCTTTTGTTCTGGGCAGTTATATTCTTCATGGCTAGTTCCAGGTCCTCCTTCTGCTTGGCCAAAAACTCCTGTTCCTGGAAGAAAACAGCAGTACCAGCATGAGCCCTCCTTCTGCTGCAACTTGAAAAGCATCTGGTGGTGTTTTAGAAACTGCCAGCCCATCAAGGATGAAGGATGCTTCTGTCTACTACACGCTTCCCAATCTTGGAGTTGTGGCAATCTTCTCTCAGCCTTACCATGGTTTGTTTTTTCTGGGCAAAGTCATCCATCCTCGCCTTCATGTTCCCTTTGCGCTGCTGCCGTGGCAGTTTTTCAACCTCGTTCTTGACCTTTGGGGAAGGAAATGAGATTTATCAGCAGGTAACTTCAGGCCAAGAACAACCACCTAATGTTGCTAAACAGCTGGACTTCAGGAAACACCCAAATGTACCAAAGAAAAGCAAGAGCTTCCCGCTAAAATACCAACTGCTTCTCTCTCAAGTTCTGCTATGGAGAAGCGACAAGGATTTCCTGGAAGAAACAGAGGCAGGAAGCCATCTTTCCTCCATCCTATCCCCATTTTTACCTCCTTCTTCATCTGCTTCAGCTGCTCCAAGAATTTGACATGGTCCCGCTCCTGCTCCAGGCGAATGCGCTTGGCCTCCTCCCGCCGGCGCAGCGAGTGATCTTGTTCCATCTTCTCAATCTGCTGCTTCTGCTGCCGTTCAAGGTTTTCCAGTTCGGTGTCATAGAACTTTTTCTTTGACTGTATGGAAAGGGAACAGAGGTCAACCCAGGAAGGGAACAGAGGTCAACCTCAGCCTCCTCTTCGCTTTGTTTCCTTCCAAAAGTTAAAAATAAAAAAACCCCAAAAGAATAAGAAAAGGGGGTGGGGGTTTTTCCTTTCATGGATTGAGCCTCTTTACTAAACACAGAGGAGAGAAATTTCCAAATAACACCCCACGAAGCACACAGGGCAGCTTCTAGTGTGAGCACAAAGCATTTTTAAACTTGTTCTAGCGCTGATGCACTTCAAGCCTTTCTCTTGCTTACGTCCTGGTCTGCAACATCCACTGGGACCCATGGCCCTGGGCAAATATTAGCAGGCAGTGAAGCTCAAGCATAACAGTTCTTTCTCTGCAGACAAAGATTTTCCAAGTTTGAAGGCACTTGTGCTTTGACAGCACCCTTGGGTCTGATCTCTGCCTCCCTGTGAGCCGCAGGGGTGGAGCACTCGGGTGTCAGTGAGAGCAGGTTGCAAACTGCCCCGGGGAAAGGAAGCGGGTTTGGGGCTTTTGCACATCGCACTGTACAGTGAATAGATCTCACAAATAAGAAGTAACTTGCGAAGATGAGAATTCACAGACGTGGCACATCAAGACTGTAGAAATACAACAGAGAACACCAATGAGTGATGGCTCCCAGCCTGCTGCAAGGAAAGGGGTTACCAGGCACACAAGCTAGGTGAATTAATAAAGGTGTATTTATAATATGGCTCATGAAATCTTCAAAGGGACTTCTCTACAAAATTATTTTAGTCCAATGGAAGTTGCCCACGGAGGAACTAAGTATGTAAGCCCAGTTTATCTTTACTCAATTTACACTCAAAGACTTGCCAGATTTCCTACTGTTACACACTGGCCACATTGCTTTCTTATTTAAAGATTTTTTTCTGTGAAGTACAACAGCACTATAAACTCTTTCTCACAGGTCCATGAGCAGACATACAAGAAAAGATCATTAAAGAGGGAAAGTCTAGAACAACCCTTCCTCTGCTACAGCCTGCCAGGCAATGGCAGTCAGTGCTTCCCAAGCTGCAGGCTACACATGCTTAACGCCCCCAAAAGCAACCCAGAGAGGATCACCCTGCACAAGGGTTTGCACAGCATCTGCAAAGGAGAAGTCAAACCAGCTGATACCCAGGAGCTTCCCCTTCCCTGCCCACGTACCGTCATTTCTTGCTCAAAGCGCCTGAGCATCTGCTCCAGCTGCAGCTGGTGTTTGCTGTTGAGCTGGGCCTGGTTTCGGTGCTCCTCCTTCTGGAGGAGACGCAGCTCCCGCAGCTCCTGGCGTCTGCAGAGGGTTAAAATGGACAGGGAGAGAGAAATACAGAGTCAGACAAGTTCAGAGAGAGGCATCTGCTTGAGCAGAGATGGCAGAATCAATAACCAGAGCACTTCAGTGCAGAATGAAAGCCGCACAGCCATCCCGTAGCACCCTGCCACTTGCTTTGAGCACAGGCAGGAGGTAAATGCCAGCTGACTGATGCGCTCTCAGGCTCTGTGACCAAAGCACTCCGAGGAAGCAGGATGCTAATTATGGTAACTGCTGGAAAACCGTCAGTTTTCACAAGTCAGGCCTGTTAACATTCACAGCTTCTCAAACAAGACCTGTCAAAGCTCCTAAGGTGATTCTGCAGGCACTGCTCCCCCCGACAGCACCCAAAATACCTATTCTGTCATCTGCGTTAGTGCATACTGTTCTTCAAAACACAACTCAGGCCAAGCTGGCACTACTCTGGCCTGGCCCCTGCACTCTGCATCCCTTCTTGCTCATGCCTGGGTGGCAGAAAGGGCAGTTTTCCCAAATTCTGACCTATCTACCACGACCTATCCATTACTCTTCTCATCCAGCTTTACATCCAGCAAAAGGGAGCCTCTGCTCAGGCTGTTGTGTTTGAGCCCATTTGCCATGTTTGTGCCCGATCGAGCTGGAAGTCACTGATGGACCATGCAAAAGGAACAGCAGCAGCCGTTTCCCTGCGCAGGATCCCCACCGTGACCTCCGCTGCTGTGTATTAGCCCTACACATTGAGCACAACCCTCTCGGGGGGCCCTCCTGGGAAGAGCACGTTGGAACAATTTCTTCTTTCAAAACAAACTCAAGCCCCATTAAATCAACCAGTGCAATATGATGTACTCTCTTCTGATCTCACCTTCAGATCAATACCTTGGCATGTTCCAAAAAGCCAGAAACAAGCCCCTTAAGTGCAAATCAAGATGCCAGGAGAGTTGATCGTTCCCTGCCAGCTAGTCCCAGGGGAATAACCACTTCCTTCAAAAGGTGTTCAGGGACTTGATGCTTTCCAACCCAAGCCTCCTTGTCTCTTGCCTCACCTCGCAGACAGAGCAGGCACTACTTAAAAATTAAAAAGGAGCCTCTTTTCAGGGATGTCATTATAGCTGAGTGGACCAGGAGAAAGCAGCTGTGCCTGGAAATTCCCTGTACGCTAGTACACAAGCTCCCTGTGGTTTATTTGGTTATACGCACTTCTCATACGAAAATAAGTAGCTAATGAGCTTCTGCATAGATCTGATATTAGGGCCTAGGAATAAGGCTGCCTCAGGGACACATAGTGCTTGGGACAGATTATAATCTCAGGGAGTCCCTCAGAGCAGCACAAGGCACCTTAGAATAGGGCATCAAGCAAAACAATTTGTATTTTAAATTTTTTAAGGGCCTTTTCATTTCAGTGCTGCTACTGATAGTAACGGAGCTAGGAACAGCAGTTTCTCTTCCTGAGAATAGGTTGTGGAGATTTGAAAGCTGTAAGATCTGCAACAGAATCATAAAGGCTTAAGCAGAGAGGACACACCCATGAATATTAAGTGATGCCCAAGGAGTTTACAACTCCCTTGGCCTTTCTGTTAATGAAGTCTGAGAAGACACAAGAACAAAAGGAAGAGGACCATCTTGAGAAGAATTCTGTGCTTACTTCCATTGAGCTAGCATATCTACAGCCCTGGAGACACATTCAGTCATTCCCAGAGGACAGGGCCAGCCACAGCACAAGCTTCCCTCATCACAGCATTGCTGCATCTCGTCCCCAAGATGCACCCCTCATTCCCCTGCATGCAAACAGAGCTCAGCGTACATGATACAGCAAGCCCTCTGACAGCCAAAGAAAGGCTAAAAGTCATGTCCAAACTGGACAGTTGACCTGTCCAAGTGGGACCAAGACAGAAAGCGAGAGGACTTTAGGTCACTCCTGGATTTGCTTGTGGAGAAGAAAACCCTGCCCTGGCTCAGCATCCTGCCCTCCCTCCATCCCAGTGATCCACTTGCCTGAGAAATCTCATCTCTTCATCCTTCTTCTCATCCTCGCTAATGATCTTCGACGTGGTGACGCTCACTTCTACTCCATCCACCACAAACTTGCGGGTGCGTTTCAGTGTCTTCTTGTGCATCTGTGAATCCTGAGTTCGGTAGGGGAGGAAAGGAGGAGGCCATGAAGCAGCTCCCCAGCTTGTTGCACAGGGTGCTACAGCTGGAAGCCTCAGAGCAATTTGGAGGCCATTGTTAACGAAGAACATAAGCAAGGAAACCACAGTGAGCAAAAATCATCAGCAGATTTGGAGCTGCCATTCAAGCCACGCAGCCTAGCTACCATGCCACAGTACAGTGTGATTTCTACCCTGCAGAAACATGACCTGAAGGAGAGGCAACCCACCGCCTGAAGACCCTTCCTCACCATGTCCAACTAAAGCAAAGCCTGCCGGAGGACACTAGGACCTCCCTGAATCGCAGTGCTGGGGAATCCACACAACAGGAAGCTTGTGATGGTTCCTTTTAAGGCCCCTGGGCCATCTGACACACAGGCACCCCACAGATCTCCTTGCAGGTGTGAGGCAGGCAAGGCCCCCCCATCAGGCTGCAATTGTGGATGGAGCCACAGGGAAACAAGCCAGCCCTGCCCAAAGGCTCAGTGCTCATGTCCCTCTGGCCCTTGTTACAACACTTCACTAATCACAACCAGCTCTGAGCCCCTTAGGGTGATCTCCACAAAGCACAGCCCAAGCTCCGTTTCATTAGCACAGGTAGGGACCAGTGCCAGGAGCACCATGTCCTCCTCCCAGCAGTGCCACAGAAGGCCAGCAACCCCCTGCAGGGTCAGCAGCCCAAGCCTGGCTAAGGGGATGCGTCCAGAGACTCAGTTTCTTTGGCGAAAAAAAAAAAAGTATATGAACGACTTTAATCATGCAGCCCTACAGGGAAAGCGCAGTGAGGTAGAATGAGAAAAAGCTCCCCAGAGTCCTCTTGCTCTTACAGCAATGAACATTGCAGATATAGAGGATGGCAGAAGAGCTTCACGTGAGCCTTCAAGGCCCAAAGCAAGCCCCTGGAGAGCTTGCTGCAATGGAGGAGCTGAAGGAACTCCGGGGGCATGCAACTTGCCCACTATGTAACGATGTACCTCTACGGTTGTGGTTTAACCAACACAGAGAAATTGGTGCAAAAAGGTTTGCATGAGACCAGCTTAGGTCATGAAGGCTCTTACTACCCAAACTGAATTAAAACATCTGGCTAAAACTCCTGCATTTTCCAAATGAGAAAATGCCAACATTCAGCTGTCTGTGCCAGCCCCAGTGCACATTATCACTGTGACTCACTGTCTGAGCCCAGCGACCCCGAGCTGCTGCAAGTCAGGCTGGTGCCCAGTCCCCAAGTGGTCCCCAGGCTCTTCCCCGCTGTTGAACAAGCAGCTCCCTGCCTTATTCATGGAGCTACTCAAACCCAGATCTAAATCCAGAATTATTAATATTCTCCTGGTCTTTCCTGTTATCCCTCAGTAGCAGGCCAGCATCCTTTCCTGAACACAAATAAATGTATTTTCAAATATTCCTGTAAAGTAAATTGCTTTCCAGAGAAGAGTCTGAGAAACTGTGGTCATAAGCGACGCTGGCTTTGAGTGTCACACTCTGAGCACACTTCACAGCGCACATCCCAGTGTGCCTCCTCCAGCTCCCAAGCTGTGAACTCCCAGTATCCATGCAGGTCAGACTTCAGAAATTCAAGGTAGATACTCAAAAGGAGGAGGTCCCTCCAGAAACAGTTGTATCTGAGAAAGTTTGGTTTACCTTTTCAAAACCCTATCTGTCTCCTTCTGTCTGTTTCTGACTTGTTTTCTCTGCCAGCTGCAGCCTCCTAAACTCACCTGTAGATTTCTTATCCCTAATCTTTCTAAAAAAAAGAAAAAAAGACCTGTATACTTTTCACCCAAACTTTTTTTTTTAGACTAAACTATAAGCAACTGGAAAAAAAAAAGTCTGGTAACAGAGAGTCACCTTAACTTCGCAGTTTAGCCTGTGATAAAACCCATGTAATAGTTAACGTTTACAACCAGAAATGGTTTAACTCTTTGCTGCCCCTTCTCTTGCAGCAACCTGCCTGGCAGCCTGTGCACAAACCCAGCGGCACCAGGAGCACGAGTAAAGGCAGAGCAAGGAGCTTAACCCCCACGAAGCTAAGGCTGGGCATGGAGCCTGGGTGAAGAGGGAGCAGCACAGCCTGGTACCTCCCCTTGCACCCACAGTTCCTTGTGCAAAGCAGAGGCTTCAGCAGAGCATCTTTTGCAGAGCCCTCCAGAAGAGTCACTCTGGAGAACAGCTCTGCTTGAATGCCTTGCTTGGAGAGAAGCCATTTAGTTTGTTCTGAGCATTACCTCTGGCTGGGGCAATTCCAACTGTGATCCAATATGATGATCTCTGTCACTCACTCCCTGTAAAACCCAAAAAACTCCTTTCCCCTTCTAGGGGACTAACTGGGGACAGGAATCTCCTCAAGGAGACCAGGTGTCATGGGAAAGGCAGTGAGGAGGGGTAAATTGCTATGCAAGAGCATCACACTTCCTTCATTAGGGATCCACATTGATTGCAGGCTCCTGGGGTGGATGCCTGCTCTCATGCTCACAGCAGGAGACAGGAGGGGAGGAAAATTATGCTGAGAATGTTTTTTGGGCACGTTTCTCTACCAGGAAGCTATCATTCATGCAGGCAACTGGATAAAGATCTTGTGCAACACATCACTCTGCCCCCCTCAAGTCACACACATTTCTTCTTCTGAAGCTCAGCAAATATCATTGCAGTTATTTTGCCTCTTCCTCTAAGCCATGCTGACCTGGCTGGCTCTTGCTCACAAGCATTCCCAGCATCCAGAAAGCTTTAGCGAAAGCCAAGAAGCCTGGGAGGTCTTCACACAATTCACTGCTGACATAAACCAGGCCAGATGTATGGCAGGTTGGAAAAATTGAGAGAGGCACCAGCCCAAATAAGCTTTCTCCTGGGGCTAGGTGTTCTAGAAAAGAGCAGAAGAGTGATGGACAATGGATAAAGTTTAGGAAATCATATTCTGGGTTTCATACTTGTCCTTCCTCTGACTGTGTGCAACTGCACAAGTCAGGTAAATGGCACAGTTACCTCACACTTCTCAGGGACCCAAAATAGCTACAAAACATCAGACTTCCACTAGATTTCAGTGGCCTTGGACAGCAGAGGACACATGTACCTGCAGCAGCTCCACCAAGAGCTTCTCCTTCACTTGAGGACCTGTCACATGCCCATGGCACAGCTTAACCCAGCAGTATGTGCTGTGCCACCCCGAGTCCAGCTGGGACAGGCATCTCAGACAGGGAAAACAAACCACTGAAGTCTTTGCCTAAAGGTGTGGTTCCTCCCTCCTCGTGGCCCTGGGTTTATTTGCAGAGCTCCAAGCCTGGACACTCACATCGCAAGCATCGCAGCCAGCCTTTCCAGCTATCTCACCAAATAGCACTGGAGTAGCACCTGGGTGGTCTTTAGCGTTGTGCTAAAGCAAGATTCCTGGACCCTCTGTCTTCATCCAGCCTCTGTTCTCTCCTACTTTACCTGCTCCCCACCTTTAGGCACAGGGCAGACTAGGGGCAACTCTCTCCTCCTGTAGTCAAAGATCAACCCAATCTAGAGCACAGCAAGCTGCTTTCTCAGGAAGGTGTTTAAGGGGCTATGGCTGAAGGGTGCATGTGCACAGCCTCTGAAGGAAAGGATCTGAATTTCAGGGATTTGGCTAAAAAGAACCAAAAAAAACCCCGAACTTCAGCACTTTTTAACAGGGGTTTGCTGCCCTTCCTTCTCCACACCCTCTGCCCACCACTCTCACCTTCAGGGAGATGGAGCCACTCTCTCTGTTGAGGGTCAGGTCAGCAGACAGGGAGATGGTCAGGTCCATGCTTTCAGAGGCTGAAGTGCTGCCAGAATCTGAACCCTCTTTGGACTGACGGCTGGAAAACAGAGCTGGTGGATCCAAGCTCCCGTTGGCAAGCTTCTCCTCTGTGAAGTTCTCCAGGTGGCTGCTCTCTGGTCGCTCCCCGATGCTCTTCCGCTCCTTCCTGCCTGGTGCAGGCTGCTTGCCCCCCTCTGTTGAGTTACCCAGCCGTCCAGGCTGCGAGATAATGTCTGGCTGGCCCTGGGTGGCCGAGGTGGCAGAGCTGGCAAGGGTTTTTGTGGAGTGGTTGCTCTCCAGTTTGTCATTGTCACTGCTTATCCCTTCATCTGAGACTTTATCGCACTGTCCATCTGTGGTGTCCTTGCCAGTCCCCACAGGCCCATTCACTGCCTTGGGCAAGGAAGAGTCTGGAGGCTTCTCCCCATCAAAACTCATCTGACTCGCCTCAGAGGGGTCCCGCTTGTGCTTACCCAGGGGCTGGAAAGACAGTGAAGGGAAAGTGTTGGATTTTGCACCACTGCTTTAACACAACTGCAAGAGCTGCAAGTCCCCACGCTTCAGAACAAAGTCACCCGCAGCTGAAGAGCTACTGGGAGGAAATCTTCCCTTTTAGGACATCTGCCCTGGGATACTTCTATCTTTCTCCAGGTTTGTGGTCCCAGGGACTATGGACACTAGCTGGAAGAAAACAGCACAATGGGGAAGCTCCAGAACCTGCAAATTCTTAAGAAGGGGGTCTGGGAACATGCACTAAGAAGGAGTCTGGGAATTTGCCAGGCTCTTTCCCCCACCACAGCCACACTGACAAACTTGCTGGCACGGGGCTGGGAGCACTCACCGAGGCAGACTCCGATGAGTCATCGTCTTCCACTTCATCCCGACTGTCCTCGATCTCTTCCATCACCTCAGCCTTGGCCTCAGCCACTAGCTCGCGCAGGGCCCGGTTGCTGGTCACCTTGCTGACGAAGGGATGCTGAAAAGCCAAGCACAATGCGTGAGGCGGACAAAACACAGACCTTGTGAGCTTGCGGCCAAGCAAGTGCACAGGGACAGTGAAGGCAAGGACCACTTCTCACTTTAAAACAACCTCAAAGACCTAAGGACACTGTTCTTGCCAGTGTCACCAGACTTAAGCCCTCAGATGAATTTACAGATACGTGCTGCATGTATGAAGGAGAACAAGAGAGAATACAATGCCAAGGTTAAGTGCCAGCTCTGCACACGGATGCTCGAAGTGCAGTGCTCTGCAAAGCTGCTTTATGTCAACATCCCCCAAACAAAAGCACCAGCCGCATTTAAACAGGGGGCTCTCACTGCAGAGATGTCCCCCTTCACCACAGACAGATTGAGCTCTGGGGTGCAGGTCCAAGCCCGCAGAGTGCCACCAGTAGCGCGACAAAAGCCAGTCTGCAGGATCCTTGGGAGCAAACAGAGCAGGGGGGAAGTTTTGATTGAAATTGGGCTTGAATGGCTCAGTGCACACAGTGGGGTGTTTGTGTTGAGCTTCAGCAAAAGGCTGGTGAGCCCCTTGGGTCTGCAGAGACAGTTGCATGCTTCCTCCTGTTGACTCCGGTGCGGGACGGGAAGCATGCAGCCAGCATGACAGCACTGCAGAGCGAGAGCGTCTCCAGCCAGTGGGGAAAAGCATCTTCCAGGTTTTTGATATTATTTTGGAAGGCAGGAGGAAAGGAGTTGAATTTAAATCTGAGATAACCAGCTATCCAAGCTGACTGCCATGTGGGTATTTTTAGGCAATGGGAGCATTTCTATTCCAGCTGGTGTCCATGGGGACCCTTTCTCCAAAGGGAAAAACATTGCTGTTCCTTTTTGGAGCATTTTAGTGGCTGAAAAGTACTAAAAACTTTCTAAACAAGCCAAAAATCATCTGAAACCAGTCTACGGCCCATCAACCCTTGGTGGTTTTTTTTCCTCCTCAAGGAGACTCATGCTGTACAGACAAGGGCGGTTTGGACACTCACAGACACCAGCAGGTACAGACACCAGCTGCAGACCCAGCCCTGGGGCTGTTGCTGGTCCCTACCTCCAGCAGCTGGGCAGCACTGGGCCGGGTCTCCGGGTTCTTGTCCAGCGCTGTCTTCAGGAAGTCTCTGAACTCCAGGGACCTTAAAACACAGTCGTTGGCAAGAAGCTCAGAAAAGAGAAAGGCTTTGAACACTACAGGGGTCTGCTCGATCCCTTTGCAGGTTGTGTCCCAGTTTGCAACTGGCTGTAATCACCACTTCACTCCCAGCACGGGAAACCCTATGCTCAGTGATTCTGATTATTAGTAAGAGAATCAGCAACACAGCCAGGTGAAGGACTAGATTTTGACTTACCTGTGATGGCAGCAGAGGGGCAGGACTGAGCACCAGCCACTGTGCCGCAGGGCCACAGTGGAGAGATAGGAGAGGACACCAGCAGCCATCCTCCAAAGGGAGCCCGTGGCTGGAGCTGCTTGTGGACAAGGATGCTCCAGGACCCAGCCCCACGGCCAGCGTGAAAGGAGGGCTGTGAAGGACCAGGAACCCCATAGGAGGGCACCCTCAGCCTGCAAAGCGCAGTGCTCAGATACAGAGCATGGCCCCCCTCCAGTTCTGGCTTCTGAGCTGCTCCAGAGGAAGCGCTCCCACCCTGCCTGCTACCTGAACTGCTGTAACGATGCTTGTGACTTCAGTGCTCCCCCAGTAATTTGCTGCTGGCTATCATGCATGATTTTTATCATGATTTAAAAAAAAAAAAAAAGTAGTAAAAAATTTTTAAAAATGAACTGATTGGATTTTTTAAAGTGCAGATGAGGCTTTCCAGACTCCATGAAAGAAATTCTGCAGCTCTTAGCCATGTCCAAGTTTATGAGGAAAATCTGTCTTTCATACAAAACCCGGATGTTTTGAGAACAGCCAAGGGATCACCCTCGCTTCAGCAGGGCTGTGGGTGGGCAGCAGCTCCCCCCGTGCTGCCTGCACACCATCAGCGTGTGTCACGGCACAGGCAGTGCTGAGCAGCCTGCCTCCAGCCAGCAGTGCTCTCTGGGCCCCTAGCACACAGCTGGACCTAGAATACAGCTAGAATCCTACACTGGGTTCTCAAATTAAACAATACTGCTAGAGAAGAATTTTTTTTTTTCCTCTCGAAATACTGCATAAGTTGAGAAACACGTACTGTGCTGCCCAAACCCCCTCACCATTTGGAAGGGCAGCTGAGTGTGGGGGGGTCAGACTTGGCAATCTTCAGCAGGACTCTCATGGGGTTGAGCTCATGATGGGGTGGCTCAATCTGGGCCATTTCGATCAGCGTGATTCCCAGGGACCAGATGTCCGCCTTGTAGTCATATGGAGTATCCTTCATGGTCTCACACATCACCACCTCCGGGGCCATCCTGCAAGGGGAAAAGCAAGGAGCAGGGATGGGGAGGGATGACACCACTGCCACACAATGTGAGCCTTGCAGCAGCAATTAAATGCTTTAAGTAACCCACAGCATTGCATAAAGAACAGCCTTTCCTCCTAGCTCTGGGTTTCAGAAGAAACAGCATCTTTTCTAAGGGGTCCAACCCCCTCCCTCTTCCGCAGACCAGCCAAGGCAGCCCATGGAAACCCCTAGGCCATTGACATCTGGCACAGATGTTGCTTCAGACAATAAATTAATCCTCGCCGATTCAGTTCCTTCAGCAAGTCGGGTGATTTAGAGATTGCATTTCTGGAGCGAGGAGTCATTCCCATGTGCTTGGAGCCTCTTCAAAGCCCACTCCACCCCCTGGGGTGCGGGGAGCAGGGAGCACACACACACGCGAGCACACATGTGTCCCTCACTCCTCCAAGCCTGCAGCACGGTGGCCCCTCGGCTGGCTCAGGGCACCGTGACACCGGGCAATGCTCCCACACCACTGAAGCTGCTCATGGCTCCCTTCAGGCAAGGGAAACCCTTGCACGTGTGGACACTGGCCAAGACTCATTGTCAAAATCCTCCCACCCATGCTCGGTAAGGCCCTATGGTCCAACATAGCCCAAAGGCCATCATCTCCCCATTTCTGAGCAAGCTTGATTTTCAGAAGAGTGAAGCTCCTCATGAACACGGGATTTCTGAGCAAGCAGGTCACTCACCAGTAAGGGGTCCCAATGAAGGAGTCTCGCTTCTGCAAGGTTTTCATGTTTTTGGCAGACACCCCAAAGTCAGCTGCAAAGAGCAGTAAAATTAGATGCCATAGGAAGACTGAAAGACCCTTCTGAATTAGCACACTTGGCTGAAATGCAGGTTTAAAAGCAAACACACATTTAAGGCAAGAACATGATACAATGTGCTGTTTCCTCTAAACTGAGCATCAGAAACTAAATTCGCTTTTGTACTATAAGACAGGGGCATAACAAGCCACCCCTACTGTAACCCAAACCCTACACATCGAGCAAAGGAAACACTGGTAAAATTCTTATTGAAGATCTTTTCCACAAACAAACAAAAGCAGCTCTGTGGCAGATTAATTTCAGGGCTGCTACTTCATAGCAAAAAGTCTCATTTTACACCAGAAAAAACAAAGTGCTGTTGCATTCTTTCTCTTCCCTTCAGCCCCATGCACAGCAGCCACTGTGTGATGCCTTTCCCTGATTTTGTCCCTTCTGTAGAGAGCTACTGAAGCCAACCCAACCCAAATCAAATTGGTAAGACTTGCAGAAGGTACCGAGCTTGCTCCAAGTCAGTTTGCACTCCGAGATGGCCCTGATGACCACTGGAGGAATTGTTATCCATCTGCACCCTGGGCTCAGGTTGTCCCTGACTGTGGGTCACTCTTGGCCCAAGCCAGCAGAGTGTTTTCACACTGGAGCACAACCCATGGTCACAGGAACATTTCTATCTTCCCAGGCTGGCTGGTCTCCATTAGCACCCACAGACACATCCCAAGAACATCCCACAGCTGCTGGCACCCCTCGTCAGAGCCCAGGAGGAAATCTGGACTCTTCTGACCAGTCTCTACTGACACAGCTACCTTCTTATGCCCCAGCAGGTAGCTGGATGCCAATTTAACTTAAGCCCATAGTAAGCTGGCAAAACAACCCTTTGGCAAAACTCGCTCTGTCACCACCAGACCTGCTCTGGAGATAAGACGCATTCTTCCAGCTCCCAGCCCTGCACAGTATGCTCAAGCAGGCCAAAAAGCTTAAAAATCAAGTTCAAAGAGGGATTAAACAAATTCACAAAAGGGAAGTCCATCAATGGCCTGACCATGGCTGTGGCTTGGGGAGTCTTGGTGCCCGGCTCTGAGCTAAGTACAGCACAGAGCTTGGTGGTAGATTTGGCCTCCCATGAAACAACACAACGTTTTCCCCCACTTCTCCTGCCTGAGCTCAGCAGCCAGCCAACAAGCAGCTGATGGCCTACAGGCCAAACGCTACGATCAAGCTCGTGGCAGCATGTTGCCGTCATCAGTACAGCGTGAAAAGGTCCCAGGCAGCACCATCATCCATGGACACTCTCCCAACAAGCTCAGCCAAGCAAGCACCTGCCACGCTCCTGTGCCGGGCAGCTCACCAAGCTTGATGTTCCCATCCTGGGTGAGGAGCACATTGCCTGCCTTCAGGTCACGGTGGATGATCTTTTTACTGTGGAGGTAATGGAGGGCTTCCAACATCTGGCGGCAAATCACTTGAATCTGAGGTTCGGTCAGGCCTCGGTCCAGCTCTGCCGGGAGGGAGAAAACCATTAAACAAGACAGGGATTCGAGTGATGCTCCCCCTGTGCAGCAGGAAGGCATGTGCTACCCAGCAGACCATCTAAAAACCACTGTCCATGTGTCAAAGCAGCAGGAGACCAATGCAAATCAGCTTGTTAAGGTAATTAATTCCCTAAGACAGCACTCGCAGGGCAATGCGCGCCTGCCTGAAGCTGCTAGTTTATAGCTCCCTCCCAGGGATGCAGATGAGGGGAATAAGGAGGGGGAGGCAGGCACGCCTGCGACAAGCGTCTGAACGGCAAGTTCCCTGCCGATTTGGGAAACGTGTACCCGCAGCCAAGCTGAGTCTCACTCAGCGTGGGGATGACACTGCAGAGAGGAGAGCTGAACTTGGCTGCAGGTGGCAGCAGGGTCAAACTCAGCACAGCTCCATGTGCAGCCGTGCTCTCATCCACCGGGGAGCTACCCCCGCTGTGGAGATGCGGCATAGCCCCCACCCCACCCCCCCATGAGGGACGCACCACTTCCCAAAGCAACAGCCAACAAAATGCTCACCCACCTTACCCCTTCCCACTGCTCTAAGCTGGTTTTACAGGTAGCAACAGGCACCAGCCCACCAGTTCATACCCCCGTGTCTGTCCCTATTGCTGAAGATTGCAGGGATATGTGACCACTGCCGAGCTCTGCCCGGCCACCTTCACCATCCAGGACCGCTTTCCAAGGCAACAGCTCTGCAAACCATCAAACTTCCAGATGGTTAGCATCGTCCGACCTTCCCTCCCTCCCTCCACAAGTCTTTGTAGTGCAGATCCCTCCTCCAGCACAATGGAGCATGCACCAGACCAAGCCTTAGACTGCCCAAACTGCATGACCAGGATGGGGGCTGACAGACGGACCCCATCAACTGGGACAGATGCTCATTCAGAGCGAGAATCTTAATCATAGGCTGGGAGATGCTGGGTCAGCCACTTTGTTCCTCTTCTTCCTCACCAAGATCTCCCTTGCTCTGGGGGAAGTGGCTGATTATTTTCACTCTCCCTGGAGCATCTAGCAAGAGTGAGGTGCAGCAGGCCACAGGTTTTGTACAACAGATTTCAAAGGCAAATGCCAGTTGCTGGTGGGGATGAGGAGGCAGAACTGGCAGAATTTGGCAACTCTGAATTTACTAATGCTGGGAGCATTCCTGAGCTCCAACTTGCAGCTCCGCTTGCCCCTCTTTTGTGGAGTGATGGCACTACAGCCAGGCCATTTGTTCAAGGTTTTCTATGCTCCCATGTCCCAGGTCCTCCAGAGACCAACTGCCATGGACACAACCCCACATATGCTCAGGGGGATTGTCGTGTCCCAAGAGACAGGGCACCCGTGTTGAGATTTTCCAGGGGAAATGCATCATTTCCTCCAGCACTTCAGAAAGCACTACTTTTTCATACAGCGATTTGGATCTGCTTTAAGAAGTTTCCTAAAGGAGGTACAAGTTTTAGGGGCTGAATCAAAGATGACAAATTTGGGTCCATACTTTTTGTGGAAATAAAAGGGAAGCAAGGCCTTCGGAAACACCAGAGCTGAAAGGGAGTAACCCCTGGGGACACATGGCTCTGTCCCCGGGGCTCTAGGCAAGAGGACATCAGAGTGCCGTGTTTGCCGTGCAGAGGGGATGTCACCTCATGCCATGATCTGTACAGTCCTGGCACAGAGGGGCTGTGGTACCAGCCAGGGCTGTTTTGGGGAACACCCACACACTCCTGGTCCCAGTGGCTCTATGTGGAAGGGAGGAGTTAAAAATGGAAAGATTCCTAGAATTACTGCAAACTGCAGTTTATTCTGAGGCTCTGCTGCTTCACCAGATGACTGATACCATACAGAGAAGTCAGCAAGAAAATCCTGGGAGCTTCATCATGACAGGCACCCAGATTAAACATCTCAGCCCCGCTGCCCTTCCGGGGAAGCTGTGGGAACAGGATCCCAAGCACACGGTGCCTCTGTCAGATAAATATTTAAAGCCATCTTTCCCCTCCAGCCAGACTCTCCCTTCTCCCCTGCCTTGTGATCTGCTGATCCCAGCAGCATTTAAATCACAAAAGGACATCAAAGTAGCTCAAGAAATGCCCCAGAGCTGCCACACCTTCTGCTCCGGGTATGAAAATAGGCAAACTCATGGGAGAGAAACAGTAGCTGCAGAAACTGGGGCACTCACATCTACCATCTGTCCAAAGTTTGCCCTGAAAGCGTGCCAGAAGGCTAGAAATGCCTTGCAGGCATCGCCCCAAGCAAGGAAAAAGAGCTGGGCACCATGCACTGCACTCACCCAGCATGGTGGCATCCACCGCCCCGCCTGGGCAGAACTCAATCATGATCTGGGGAAATAAAGAGAGAGAAATTAAAGTCAGGTCTGTATCTCACTGAGCAAACCCCACCAGGTAGGGAAAAGGAGACAAAAAGCATTGGATTTTGCTTCCCTGCATGGCAAAAGCTGCCCCTTTGGATGCAGAGGCTTCCGTGTTCCCCAGGACACATCTCCCAGGCATCCCCAGCACAAACGATCACCCAAGCCCCAGTGCCAGATCCTACATGACGCCCACAGTGTTTGTCTCAGGGGGACTGTCCCCATCGCTGCGACACTCCCCCACAGTTGTGCCTGGCCCCGTTGTACCTGGACGCCCACCCTGAGCAGCCAGCTTCCACTTCAGCTCCAGCTTTCCTCTCTGCTTACATCCCTTCCCATCGCATTTTGGAGCGAGGGTTGCTCCAGAGAGCGGCCTTGCCAACAGCATGAGATAGCTGTCATAGCTGGGAGCTGACGTGGCTGGGAGAAATCAGGCAGGATTTTCTCTGGCAAATGAAAGATGGGGAGGGCCGTTGGGAGTTTAATTATTGGTTTTTTTCCCCTCTTTGCTCAGTAGTTCATTGCTCTCTTGATTTTGAGCAATTTCAAGGGAAACTATGTCAATAAAGAGGTCGAGTACATTCACCAGATTGATGCTGTTTCTCTCCCAGACTCCTACCAGTCCCCCACACCTGCCTGCCCAGCCCCTGCTGTTCCCCCACAGGGTGGGCAGCACCCACTGGGTGGGCCCTTCCCTAGAAGCTCAGGGGTGCAGGTCCTCTTCCCCCTCACCTCTGCACAAACCCTGCCTGAGCACTCCCCTTCAGGGCAGGCGAGGCTGTTCAGATAAACAGATTAAAATTTCAAGCAGCCGGGGGTTATGAGGGAGAAGAGATGCTTCACCTCCTGAACAAGCTCTTCTCCTTGTCAAGGCGACATGGGGCAACATACCGGAGAGGTAAAATGCCAGAGTTTATTTTGAGGACAACGACTGAACAAACCAAAGGCAGTGTTTACCAGTGCAGCTCTCTAAGCCCTTCAAGTGGGGGTCATGGTATTCAATGCAGCTCTAAGCACTGGACCAGGAGCTGAAGGGAGAAGGTTCAAGCTCCCTCTTTCCCATGGTCTAATCCTGCAGCTCCAGGCAAGCCACATCCCACCCTTTTCTCCTGCAGTTCCTACACGTGGACAAGGGAAACACTATTATAGACCTGGTCGGTGGTGGAAGATAAAACTGCTTTGTTTTAGAGAAGGGGGAGCAGGATCAGATGCTGGGATGCAGTAAGCCTTGAATTCCTCTGTGAGTGAGGAAGGTCCAGGTCCAAAAGGGGAGACAATTCTGAGAAGAGAAACCCAGGCAGGTTGGGCAGCATAACACAGGTGCCATTGGAAGAAGTAGAGAATAACCAGAGACCAGGGCTGGGGAAGCATATGAAGCAGACAGACGGAGAGAAGCAACTGGGAAGACATTCAAACCCTTCACAATCCAGGAGAACAAATCCGTACTGACTTGGAGCTGAGCAGGAGCCTGGCAGGGAGGAAGCCAGTGGGCCAGCAGAGCCCCTGCACAAATGGGCCGTGCCAACACATCTTTTCTTGCTTGACATTATACCTTGAACCAGAGCATCAGCAGCTTCACCAGCAAATGGAAAGGCAAGAATTACCTCCTGCCATGGTCTCCTCAGGCACAGAGATCCCCACTGGACCCCTGTGCTCCATTACCAGCCCAACGCAGCTCTAGGAGGCTCATTTCAACCAATTATTTTTATAGTGTTCCTCATCATGTTCGTCAAAGCAGACTAACACCACCAGTGGACACCAGCCCTTCCCAGGCTCCTCAGAACCCAAAGTGCCAGAAGCAAACCCCAAACAAGCCCCACGTCAATGCTAGCCTGCCAACCAGGAGGGAAAGGGCTTTCCCTCGCTCTGGAACACTGAGGGAACACGTGGGGCTTTGCTGGCACAGCCAGCCTGTGACTGTACCTCTGCACAGTAATACCACAATCCCACCCGTGGGACCTGCCCTCTGCTGATCATCCGAGCTGCTACTAGCCCAGACCAGCCAAGAGTGAGTGACTGCTTACTGCATCACCCAAGCCCATGGCACAGGGTTTGCAGTGGCTGCAGAAAGTGCAGACCTGACCTCACGTAAGTCTGAGTATCACAGCTTTGCGCTGCTCTGGATGGCAGAAAACCTGCCCCTACAAATGATCTTGTCTCATCACTGAATCACAGTCCAAGGTTTCGTTCATCTCACATGAGCAATCCTTTCCTGCTCCTGCCGATCCATGTGCCTCAGGAACTCACCTACCCAAAGAGGGTGGTCCCTGGGCTCAAGCACAAGCTTCCCTTACACTCAGTGAGTAGAGAAGGCTTGATCAGAAGCTTGTCTGTGCTACCAGGCTCAGCTCTTGAATTTAAACAGTCACAAAACTTCCAACAACCCAGCCTGAATCAGCTGTTAATGCGGCCTTTGCCATTCAGGTTACTCTGGTGCCTTCATTGCTAATGCTCAGCAAGCAACTTTACAGATTCTGCCTCTTTGTGTGTTCCAACTAAATGAAGTCCCCTGGCATCTCACACAGCTCCTCTTACACAGCCTCCAGACAGAAATGTCATTTTAATTTTGAGGGGTAAGACACACAGAGGACAGCCCACTGGGTGACAGTCACCGCCGTCCTGGTCAGCAGAGCCCCTGGGAGCCCAGCATGGTGTCCCCCTGGCAGATGCTGTGCTGAGGTTTCCTACCAGGGGCACAGCTGGCACAGCTGAAACATGCTCTGGTCAGACACACTGAGTATCTAACCCTGGCAGATGCTGTGCTGAGGTTTCCTACCGGGGCACAGCTGGCACAGCTGAAACGTGCTCTGGTCAGACACACTGAGTATCTATATGGGGAAGGGCCAAGCAAACACACCCTACTCTGGATCTGTGTGGGATATGTTTCATCTCACAAAGTTTCATTCAGGTTCACAGTCTAGCAACGAGAAAATTAGGGAAATCAGTCCATCTGAACCAGCATGACTGTGTGTGTTTATGCAGGCACAGCAGGCTACAAGCCAGGCACTGGGAATACGAGAAATATGGAAAACTTAAAAATATGCATTTTCAACAAGGGCAAAGATGCCAAAGAATAATTATGTGTGTGGCCAGATTGTCTGAACATCCAAAAACCTAACGGGCTCGTTTCAGCCCAGAAAACCTGATTTAAACAAATGCAACTGGCAGTCCCATAGCCCACACACCACACACGCTTTCTTCCAGTAGCAGGGCCAGCCTAAAAAAAAAAAACAAACCCAACTTTTCCCATTGAAGCAGGTAGGAAGGCAGGCCCGGTGGCAGCAGCACACGGCCACCTCTGCGTGCAAGCTGGGGGATGCAGGAAGCGCGCAGAGAGCGGAGGCTGTGCAGGCCCCCTCCCCGGACCCACAGCAGGGAGCGGGATGCCCGGGTGGCCAGTGACACCCTGGGGCAGGCAGCCTGCCGCTCCGGCCACAACGAAGAATGAGCTGGAGGATCCTAGAAGAGAGCTGTTGACAAGAGCCTGTGCATCTGTGCAGCCAGGAGGCTGGTGATTTACCCAAGGGCTGTAAAGATTTTAACTCTCTGCTTGGGACTGTTTCCACGTGCTTTGAATACATGGGCTGACCACCCCTTTACTGAGGTGTCCCCAAGCCACAGCTGGAGCAGCAACCTCTCTAGTGACAATGCCAGTCTCAGTGCTGCACTTCGCCTCTCAACGCCACACTGGGCTGCTGCCTGTGCTGTGCTCGGCTGCCCCCAGTCCCCCTGCGACCTGCAAGACCTGGGACCCAGCACAGGGCTTGCTGCAGAGCCACGGCAGAACTGCAAAACAGAGGTATCGCACACCCTGTCCCAAAAAAGCTCCTGCAGTCTTGTGAACTAGATACACAAGACCTGTGGGGGTCTCTGCCCCAATGCTGACATCCTGAAAGTGGCTCCTTCACACTAATTAGGGCTGGGGAAAGCACCCACACCTCCTCCTCTTTGGGGTCTGAGCACCCGCTGTGGGGTCTGCATCGAGCAGCGTGGAACAGGGCTGGAGCAAACATCCTGTTTATAATGATTTCCTCCACATAAGAAATCCAGGGACTTCCTCACCGAAGGCTGCTCAGCCCCTGGGCTGCGCTGGGCTGCTGGGGGGAACACGCAGCAGCCACAGGAGCTCTCCTTCCTGCTGCTGCCTCAAAGCTGTTATAAATCCCAGTGATTATGCACTATTGGCATTTTCGTCTTCAGTCCACAGGCAACTGCAACTACACCTCACTGGCACAATGCAAAATTCGCCATTAGCTCCCATCCCCAAGCTATCTGAGCAACATGACCAGCACAGCCAGAGCCCCGTGGTCTCAGCTCCAACACCACGGCCAAGAAACCCAGCCACCACACTGGGCTCATTTGCAGCTCGACAGGGACGCACAAGCTGCACACACAGGAACAGATTTGGGCAGCTGGTTTATAGACAGAGAAAAGAACCCACCCTCGTTACCTCTCAAAACCTTTGTATCACAGTTTGAACACAGCTATTAAAAAAAAAAAAGGGCCCTTTTCTTCTATTACTTTAGTGAAACAGCATGAATGAAGAGGTCTGCATGCAGAAGCCATATAATCTTTCCAGCAGGAAAACAGCACACATTATGAAAAAGCATTATATGACTTTGCAGCTCAAGACAGCAGATCCGACACTGTGCCAGAAGAATCCCTCTAGCACCTCACACCAGCTAAGGGCTGGAGGTACTCCCACCCAGGGAACAAACCTAGGATGGATTAGAGCCCAGTGCAGTTCCCGGCTCTGACAAACCAGGAGCAGCATCTCCTGCCCAGGTACCAAAGTCCTCCCGGGTAGGACCAAGAGCCTGCTCATTCCTCCCACCCTGGGCAGGACTGGTCCTGCCCCTTGGGTGTGTTTAAACTCCTAGAATTTTCTACTACATTTAAAAAAAAAAAAAAAAAAAAAGGACAAAAAAAGCGCTTATCTTTAAAGATATTTTTACCAAACACTGCACAGTC